CTTCCTAAGTACCCCTTTGCTAGACAATGGATTTGTATAGAAAGGTTTGGATAGGAATGATCCTGCCTCAGGACTAGATGACCTCTGGAGGTCCCTTCCAGCCCTACTTCTCTATGATTGTAACCCAAACATTACATTTTTAAAACTTTTTTTAATGCACTTGTGTCAAAGGTTTTAACAATGCAACATAAGCATATCATTAAAATCAACCATAAATCACACATGCCACAGCACATATCTCACTATATTTCCCCAACTTTCCATGAGTATATGAAGGATGTTTTGAAAAAGCACAAATCATGAATAATATTTCATCAAATTTTTGTCCCTTTCCCTAATGTTAGGAAATGTTTAAAAGACATTTTTTCTCCTTTCACTGACAATTTACTTGAACATTTGCTGAAGAAAATATAAACAAGAACTGCTTACTGTTCCATTACATTGACCATCCTTGATCCTGAGATACATTCCTGGGTTTTTCACACACTCAAACATACAAACCCCCGAGCTGATTTTATGCACTTTCCAATAGGATTCTTCAGACTGCTTTCCTACTCCATTGCAACTGCCATCAGATCTAAGGCAGAGAGCCTGGCAGAGACTTGTGGTAAGCAGAATGATAGCACCATTGTGAAACACACCCTTTAAACCAAGAAACAAATATATGTATAGATTTAAATATGTAAATAGCACTACTTCTCACTCCAATAAAATCCATCATTTCAAAGTAGTGTGTTTAAGGCGATAACTAAGGACAAGATACTATTTTAAACCACCACAAGTACTTTAATTTTAAAAAGGTAATCAGTGACAAATGGGTAAATCACAAGTAATTTAAGTGTTCCTTCAGTCTTGTCATGTTCTGCCTCCCATCCAGCTATTAGCCTCTACAGAAGTCCCTATCAGGGCCCTAGGCAAACAACCTCATGAGCCCCTACTTTTTGACACTCAATAATTATAATATGTAAAATAAGCACAACTGGGCCCTTTCTTCACTTAGGGCCCTAGGCATGTGCCTACTTTGCCTATGCATTAATTCAGACCTGGTCCCTAGCATTAATTTTTAATGCTCAATTTGTCTGCTGCTCACCCTACTTTCTCCTATTCAGCAAGGTAACATATATTCAAAGGAAAGCAGTTGCAGCAGGTTAGGCTATTTGTATATGCTTTATATTATACACACAGTTCTTCATCCAGCTGTTCTGGGTGTGCTGCCCTGCTTTTGAAAAGTTCTCTTATTATTTCACTGATTCATCTTTCCTTTCTATGTCACATCACCGAAGTAAGACTCAGTGACCTTTGCCAACACAAGCCACAGTAGTCTCATATTCTCTTTAGATTTCTCTAAACAAATCATTAAAGAAAAAACTTCTGCAGGATTTGCACAGTGACATCGCCCTGTTGAACTGTACCTGCAGTCTGTAGCTCCACCTAGTGGGAGGAGATCACTGCTTCAGTTTTCAAACAGCATCAACTTCACAAGGATGAAATACATACTTGGTTCATTATTCTCTTTCCACCCTCCTCCCATCTTACCTTAACATGAACAACAAATTCTTTTGAGAGTCCTGTGTAGCTTGACACTTTGTCAGCTACTTTGCCTTGAAGATTGAATGTGACTGTGTCCCCCAGATTCCTGGCTGATTCCAGAATGGCACAGTGGTTTGGCCGAAGGTGGACCTGTAGCTCACAGAGATTCTCACGATTGTCCTAACACACATAAAAGCAGGAAAATCAATCATATGAACTATCAGACATGATGTAATCTGAAACACAGACCAGTGACATGACTTCTGTTTATGCATTACTAATTTGCATGAGCAAATAATTTATCAATATCCTGGTGTTAACAATGGAAATCAACCTAAATGGAAATGTACTTATGCTGTTTTCAAATATGCTTTTGGAAACTGCAATAATTCTAAAAAATGTGTACTGAAACGGTGCACTATATGAAAATCCAGAGAACAGAAGCAGCTTATCTTGAATGTAACAGCTATTACAAATGGGTATTTTACCCCCCGAGGAGCCTGGAATCAGTTGCTGCGGCCGAGAAACAGTGCACTGACTCACATACCTCACTGCTGCCCTCCACCAGCTGCACCACTGTGTTTCCACTGAATAATGTTCCCCCTGCCTGAATGGCTAGAAAAAGCAGCAATGGGATCCACAAGGATGAATCAGATTCCCTATTCATATTTGTTTATTCAGACTGTGAAATTATGTTGGGATCATTTCAAATGAAAGACATTGTATCCAAAATATAAGTCCCCTTGTCATTTTCCTTTTATCGAGAGCATTATTAAGTTTCTTTCATTTACTGAAAATTGGGGTTGAAGTAAATGGAAAATGCCAGTGCACAGCTGATACTGTCTTTAAAACATTTGGATTATACCAGTTTTCACAAGAAAACAAAATTTTAGAAGTCAATTCTGGGTTTGCTTTCAAAATAGGCCCTTTTTTTTAGGTAAAAGCTTTTCATTCAAAAACAAAATTTCAACCAGCTCTAATTGTAGACTTCAGGAATAAATGAAGCCATCAAATAGATTTTAGAAGTGGCTATGAACTAAAGGCAAATAACCATTAGAGCTCTAATTAAATATAACATTTATAATAACCTTTTTTATTTCAGTGCCACTTTGCATATACACATTATGTTTCTTTTCAAGATTTCAAACAGCTTTACACATTAATTAAAGTTCACAGTTTTTCCATGAAAGGGGCAATACAGAATTTGTAAACTGTGGCTTGCCTAAGGTAAAAAAAGTGATTTAGGCATAACTAGAGAAAAGAAATCTGGTAGGCAGGTGCACAACCAGTCCCCTAAATGTAAAGATATTTATTGCACTGAAGTCAGTTAAAAGACAGAAATGTTCCACCCATCAAAGTCATTTCAAGGAACAGGAATACTAGAAAGTATTGGAAGATGGTTGGACAGTTTGCTCTGAATTTTGAAGCTATTCCCGTATAAAGCCCCAGTACTATATGGTGTCACTCTGTCTCCGTTGCAGCTAATGTGCATTACATATATATATAAAAAAAGGAGCAGGGTTAGCTCTACTATTTAAGTCACTATTTAAATAAGGGAAAGTGAAACACTGCTTTTTCCATCCTCTATAAAACAGTCCCATCAAAAAGAACCAGCTTCCATAACTATTTGCATTGTGGTATGTTACAAGAGCTGAGACAGAGAAGCAAATCTGAGAATAAAGGGAGGGGACAAAAGAGAAAAGGATCAAATAAGGCTGGGAACAATCCAACAAGTTCTTAAAAGGCGGGTGATTTACAAAAAACAATAGGAAAATAAATGGACGTAAGCTGTAAGCACCACCAGTCATCCAAAGAAAGGATATGTTAGGCCATGCCAGTTATGTCGTTAGCATTTGAAAGGTTGGTACAAAGAGTGAAAGCACAGATCTCAGTTCTACAGTTTTCATAAACCAAATCCTTCTCAAGAAGTGATGAACTGTAAGCTAAATCCTGAATCTTTAAGTTACCTAAACTTTGGCAAATTAAAACTCTAAGTTGAAGCTTTGCTGCTTGGCTCCATCTCTAATTGAAAGTGCTATCTACTTATTCTATTTAATAAGATAAAATACTGTAAAACGATTAAAAGCAAGGGGTAATTTCATACCATTCCAGTGACACAGCCATTGTCCAGAGCAAGTGCAAGGTGTGGCATCTGATGACTGCAAAATATATATGTATTTCTCCCTTTGATTGTTACATCAAAAAGACCTAAGGAGTTTAGGGGAAAATATAATTAAAATATTTAATCTTATTTCTTTATTTAAAAACTGATTCATGACTTCTCATTTTACAAAGATGTTATGTGGCAGGGAAGAGCCTAAATTAAATGTTCATTAATAAAACAAAAGTAACAAATTATGACCTGTAATCACTGGATTTTCCCTCCCTCCATCTGGGAGAGCTTATGAAGGCACAGCTGTCCATTTCTCAGGTTTGTGAAAGAAAATCATAAGAGCTAACAGCAAGAAACAAACTTCTTTTTGTTAAAAAAAATTATAAAAGAAAAAGGGGGAAAAAAGAAATCAAACCAAAGGCAACAATAAAACATAACTCCACAAGACAAACTATTTTGTACCTTAAAAAGGGAATGACTATCTAATAGCTTATCATGCCAGGCTGTAGTACCTTTACATATGCCACATTCCTCCTCATACATTAATTTCTAAACTGGAAGTACACAGTGCTGCAGGCAGGCTAACCAACTTTCCCACAGTACCATGCAATGCATGCCTTCCAATTCAGAAAGTGGCGTGGGCAGAGCAATGCAGCATGGTAGAGAAGACTACTGTCTGGCCCAGGCTAGACATTCCTTTAAATGAACTAGGTATTTGTGATAACTATTGGTATTATGTAGAAAACAGTCTATTCTCAAGGGTTCATAGAATCATAGAAAAATAGGGGAGAAAGGGTCCTCAGGATTCACTTAGTTCAAATGATCCTAGTTCAGAACAGGATCATCCATATCTAAACCATCCCAGTCAAGTATTCGTCTATCCTAAACATACAGACTTTCAAAAAGTCCAAGGTGAAAATGATCTAAGTTACACAGTTTTCTGTAAGTCATGTAGTTTAGATCAGTAGCAAACAGAACACATATTTGCCCTACGGGGGGGGGGGGGGGG